AGAATGGTTATGTTCTGAATTTTCATGACAAAATGTGTGAAATTGTTGACAAGTCTGGTACTAGATTGTTTTCGGTAAAGATGTTTGATAGGAGTTTTCTAGTGGAATGGAAGCATACTAGGGTGCATGCTTATCCTAGTATTGTTGATGAATCTGAAATTTGGCATAAAAGATTTGACCATTATAATTACAGTTCATTGAAACTGAAGCATTCACATGAAATGGTTGCTGATTTACCTGCAATAGAAGATTGTGGTTCTGTGTGTGATGCTTGTCAAAAAGGAAAGCAATCCAAATTCCCTTTTTCAAAGAAAAGTAATTGGAGGGCTACAGAACCATTACAACTAATACACTCTGACATTTGTGGCCCTATGAAAACAGAATCTATCAATGGGAGCAAATATTTTCTGTTGTTTATTGATGATTTTAGCAGGATGTGTTGGGTTTATTTTTTAAAGAAAAAGTCAAAAGTGTTTAATAAGTTTGTGCAGTTTAAAGCTGTAGTTGAAAATGAGATTGGCAAGTCAGTGAAAGTTCTAAGAACAGATAATGGTGGTGAATATACCTCACTCCAGTTTGAGGATTTCTTGAAGAGCCACGGCATAAAACACCAACTCACAGTACCATACAATCCTCAGCAAAATGGTGTTTGTAAGAGGAAAAATAAATCAGTTATGACTATGGCTCGGTGTCTCTTGTTTGAGAAGAACTTGCCAAGAAAATTCTGGGCTGAGGCTGTGAATACTTCTGTATATCTGCTCAACAGAGTTCAAACAAAGGCACTTGATAGGAAGACACCATATGAAGTCTGGTTTAGAATTAAACCAACCATTCGTCATCTCAAGGTCTTTGGTTGCATTTGTTACATGCATATTCCAGATGCAAAAAGGGATAAACTTGATCATAGAGCTGAAGTTGGAATTTTTATAGGTTACAGCAGTCAATCAAAGGGCTACAGGGTGTTTAATGTGAGGACTGGAAAGATTGAAGTCAGTAGAAATGTGAAGTTTAATGAAGCTGCAACTTGGAATTGGGAGAATTCAGAAGTTATATCTTCTGAGACTAGTCTTGAAGATGAAACTGATGAGGATTATGCAGTTAGAGGTACTAGATCACTAACTGATATTTATGCAAGGTGTAATGTTAGTGTTGTTGAACCTCCAAATTTCTATGAAGTTGTGAAGTCTGAGGTCTGGAGAGCTGCAATGCAGGAAGAGTTCAATATGATTCAGAAAAATGATACATGGCAGCTTGTGGATCGACCAGATAACAAGAAGGTCATTGGTGTTAAGTGGGTTTATAAGGTGAAACTTAATCCCAATGGTTCTATAAACAAGCACAAAGCAAGGCTTGTGGTAAAGGGATACTCACAGCTCCCTGGAATTGATTTTTGTGAGACATTTGCGCCGGTGGCCAAGTTTGATACCATCAGATTGCTTTTGGCACTAGCAGCTTAGAAATGCTGGTTTGTATACCAACTTGATGTTAAATCTGCTTTCTTGAATGGTTATTTGAAAGAAGAAATACATGTGGAGCAACCTGATGGATTTGTTAAAAATGGCACTGAAAACAAAGTCTATTTGCTCAAAAAGGCTTTGTATGGACTTAAGCAGGCTCCTAGAGCTTGGTACAACAGAATAGATGAATTTTTGCTGAAATTGGGTTTTGTAAAGAGTCTCATTGAAGTCAATCTTTATGTCAAAGAAGAGGGAGCTGATTTATTGATTGTTACAATTTATGTGGATGATTTTCTCATCACTGGCAGCAATGAAAAGTTGATCCAGCAGTTCAAAGTTGAAATGAAGAAGGAATTTGAAATGAATGACTTAGGGAAAATGTCCTACTTTCTTGGAATGGAAATCAGTCAGACTAGTCAAGGTATATTCATATGTCAGAAGAAATATGCTAATGAGATTTTGAATCAGTTTGCAATGGTTAATTGCAAAACAGTCAACACACCTATGGTTCCTTGTGAGAAGCTAAGAAGTGATGATGGTGCAGCTAAAATTGATGCAGGAGTATATCGAAGTTTAATTGGGAGATTGTTATATTTATCAGCAACTGGACCTGATATAATGCATTCAGTGAGCCTTTTGTCTAGGTTTATGCATTCTCCTAGTGAAATATACTTCAAGGCAGCCAAGAGGATCCTAAGGTATGTGAAGGGAACAACTAATTTTGGTGTTCTTTATAAAAGGTCAACAAATGTGAAGCTAATTGGATTTACAGATAGTGATTAGGCTGGTTCAGAGGAAGACATGAAGAGTACCTCAGGACAGTGTTTTTCTATTGGTTAAGGGGTGATTAGTTGGAGTTCTAAGAAGCAAGACTCAGTTGCCAAGTCAACAGCAGAAGCTGAGTACATTGTTGCTTCTCTTGCTTCAGATCAAGCTGTGTGGTTCAGGAAATTGATGAATGATTTAAAACAACCTCAGATACATCCTACTGAGTTGTTTTGTGATAATTTATCTGCTGTTGCAATTGTTAAGAATCCTATTCTTCATGGTAGAACCAAGCATATCAAGATCAAATATCATTCTATTAGGGAGATGGTTAATGAAGGTGAAGTTCAGGTTTTGCATTGTGATTCAGATGACCAGATTACTGATATATTCACTAAAGGACTGCATAAGTTCATATTTGAGACACTAAGAGACAAGCTTGGGATGAGCAGCATTAGTGTCGAGGAGGAGTGAAAACAGCAATGTAAAGACAGTGACACAAATGCTGTCACACTATTTTTTCAATTTGTAGCAGTTATTAGTTGGTTTTTAATCCAGTTTGTTTTTCCATTGTAGTGCAGTTAACTTTCAGTTTTTAGTAGTTTCTTTATTTCCTTGTAAAAAGCAGATTTGTTCAATGGAAAATTTCAGTTCTGCACTTACCAGATCTTCATCTCTTTGTTTACAAACTAACAATATCGGCCTAGATGAGCATAGGCTTGATCATGGGTAAGTTGTTTGCAAGCGTTGCAAATAACTTGAAGCTTCTTTCTAACATTGCAACTTTCA